TCGAGATTCAGTGAAAGATTACTGTTTTTCCTCTCACAGCTCAGAACCCAAGCAATTTTTTTGCACACTTGACACTGTATCAACTTAACCTACTGGCATTCAGTCAGATGATTTACATACAGTAGACTATCTGAAAGCCTCTGTAAGCAATGCATACACAACTAAAAGAGTGCAATGAAATATATAATAAAGTATGAGTAATATCGCTGCATACTCACAAGCCTGATGAAGAAATTAGGTCGATTTGGAAAGTTAGGGTTTGGAGAGTCCTGCGACAGTGAGGTACTCCAAAGACGAACAGTCCAAATTAGACAGAAAAGCATGAGAACATCATTTAAACGGAGATGCGGATGGAGTGGGCGGGGCCTCACAATCGATCCGCGCTGTTATTGGTCAGTGCGTTTTGACACTTCAGGTGAACGATAGTCTTTTCGCTCGCATCCATTTAAATGTCCTGTTTCAACACAATGTGAAACACTTAAATGTTACAAAAGTCCCATTAGAGTAAGTGCTAAGTTTTCAGAAGGCAGTAATGATGAAAAGAGAGAAATGAAAGTTAACAGGAATTCATCAGTGCACGGTCTAATGCTCCGCTCATATTTTTGCTTTAGCAGAAACGCCTTGAATTAAACACGCATCTCAAATTACATAATCTTAATATCATTGTATGATGGTAATAAATGTTATTTTTTTGGAATAAAATTGCACACATTGGGCTCGCTAAGGCTGATTTCATGGCATTTTATTTTTTACTTAATACACATGCTTACTATTTAATATTCAATTAAATAGACATTCTTGCATAATATTACAAAATGAAAGCTTGACTGGAAATGACACGTAATATAACATTGATTTTTTTCAGTTCTTCACACATTGGGTCTCATATTTCATCTAAAGCATGCTTAAATATTTCATTGATACAGTTGCCTCCTTAGTAAAGTACACTAACTTGAGGGAAAAAAATGATAATGGACAAAGTTGCTTGTGGTTGAAATGAGGCAACAATGGTGAAATTTATGCAAACATTTTTTAAATGATTTTCACACAATGTTGAAATTGATTAGAATTAACCCATTCTTTATATAGTTTTAAAAATGTAGTAATTCATATTATATGATGGATTTTAATGCTAATTTAGTTGCAGTACACAAATATTTGTGGCAGAATGAAAAAATACTGATTTAAAAAGATGGTTCACCCAAAAAAATTTAATTCTGTCTTTATTTTTGTATGCCAATCTTATTCCAAAACCATTTGCCTTTCTTGTAGAAACACAGAAGATGTTTTGCAGTATGTTTAAACTGCTCTCTTCTTCCACTCAATGAAAGTGAATGGGGACCGGCAGGAGCTGTCAATGAATACTAGAGGAAAGAAACAGAAGGAGTGAAACAAGAAAGCAGAGATTCCCCAGCCTAGACTACATGCTATACGCCACATCTGGATGAGGCGAATCCCCTGAGATCCTTTTTGGGACCCTTATCGCTACGCACATCACATTCCGTCCCCTCCATTCCCACAACGGGCTCCTTGCTATCTAATGGAACTTCCTATATAAGGACAACCTCATATTGCATCCAGTAAATCACGTCTGTGATGTTTCAGGGAACAGGACCATGGCTGGTATGCTTCGAGGCCTTGCTGCGGTCCAAAAGAGAGATGGAGGAGAAAACAAAGCCTGCAGAGAAAGAAGCGCCTCTGTCACTGGTCAGCATCAAGCTTTCCTGGATGTGCGAAGGGAAGGAAGGGAGGTAGAGAGAGTGTCTTGGAGACAGATGGAGAAGGGGGGTGGGGGGGTATATTGAGAGTGAAAGTGAGAGAGGGAGATGTACAACTCTAGGTCTCTGTTGTGCCATATAAGGACAATGGGGTCTGCCTGGAATCTCGACTGTATTCGGTGTTTAGAAGGGAACACCGAAAGACTTGGATCGAGTGACTAAATATGGTGCAACAGCAGTGTCATTGTTAAGACAAATAGGCTTTCATTGGGATATCTTTTGACTGTTTACTCACCAACAATAAACTTCGGGGGTAACTGCAGACTCTCATTCCGGCAAAGACTAATACCAATTAAGGAATGTGAGGTATTGCACCTGCTCATGCTGTATCACACCGTAGAAACAGGAACATAGATGTGAGTTTAATAGTTTGTTACTTTGTACTGTGGAGAATCATGCAGTTAATTTGTATAGTCAGAGACACTAAATAATGAACACAGTACATAGGCTATAAAAAATACCGGTTGCAATTTTATTTCACAGTGCTGTTCCCCGTTTACATATTATGCACTTATTATACCTATTACAATAACTGGGTAATAGGTACTAACCCTGAACCTACCCCTAAACCTATAACTTAACCAATGTAGTTACCTTATATTAACCAGTACTTTGCAAGTACACTAGTGTACTGTAAAATAAAGTGCAACCCAAATATCTTGTTTGAGCGTGTGTTCATGAAACACATGATATGACATATTCCCTAAAACTACTGTACAAATCTGTTAATTGGTAAGTTATTTTATATACACAGTGAAAAACTGTTTAACATCATATTATATGTAATTACTGAAAAATACAATAACATTTCCGTTTTTTTTGCAAGTAAAAACTGACTTATATTATTCACAGTGAAAAAACTAAAAAGACATTCCCAGAAGTCCTTGTGTGACATCACATATGAATATATTTTATATAAATAAGTAAGGATTCGTTTACAGTGTGCATTATGAACTTTTTATTTAATTTAAAAAAACAAAAACAAATTATAGCCTTATTTAACCTCAGGTCATTTCTTCCTTCCATAGACAACAAAATGAGATATTTTGAGATATGTCCAAGCTGCTCTTTTCCATAGAGTGAAAGTAACTGGTAACCAGAGGCTTTCACGCTGCAAAAAAATTACAAAATAGTTTGTGCGACTAATTGTGCACTATATTCCAAGCGTTATGAAGCCATACTGAAAATATTTTCATCAAACCTTTCAAATATGCTCATTTTTTAGATTCGGTGATCATGAAGAAACAATGATTGGTCTTGAGTGCGCTGTATTTGAATATTCTCGAACACAAAAGAGATTGGAAAACCATGGCAGAAGAGAAGATTATCAGTGAATAACAATGCTCACAAAGATCTTGTATGTCTTTTGAAAGACATGAAATACAGTGCACAAGTCTTATGGAGGACTTGTAAGGTCAATTTTTTTCATTATACTGTATTGTACTGTTGGGAGTGCAGCAACAATATTTTGCTAAACTTCCCTTTCAAAAAGAAAGCCATGACTCATGAGGGTATAGTAAATGCTTACCGAATTTATAGTTTTGCTAAACAATTCCTTATTTTCATTAAGTGAAAACCAATAAAATGTAGGAAAGAAATTACAATATGCAGAATTATACCTGCTTTGGCTTCAAAGCCTTTGCTGAAGTCCTATTTAGCTGTGCCCTTAGTGGAAGAACACTATCAGGAATTAGTCCTGACAGACAGTGTGTTTAAAGGAGAGGAGGGAACGGGAAATATGTGCTGGATTAAAGCTAAGTGAGGCACATGCTGTTCGTCTCCTTCGTCATCCAAAAACTCACTTGGAGTGAAGCCGTTCCCAGTAACGGGAGCATTAAGATTTGCCTACATTAGTAAAATAGAAGGTCAACACCCTAGACAAAATCTAACAAGGTGTGTATGGTACCCATAGATACTAATTCAGGAAATTACATGTATAGTGAATTAAAAAGTTAAACCCAATTACCAGTAAACCCAACTTCTTTTAAATAACATCTGTTATCTACAGCCTCTATATATGCATGTTCAGTTCCCAAAGAAATCCTGAGTATAGATGTAAACACCATTTTAGAGAGTCATACATGTTTGGATATATTTATCCCTTTTGGAATGCAGTTAGCAGCGGGAGAGCAAGCAAATATTTGGCTTCTCGTATTTATTCAAAATATTTCACATGATCTATCTGTTGATGATGATAACCTTTTACTGAAAGAAAGTTTACCCGGACAATGCACTGGGAACATTTCATCAAGCTTCCAACGAACCGCTTTATTACCCCTTATCTGTGATAATAATCAGTGCAAAAAGCTATCAAGTGAAGTATTGAGTGAGTATGAGGTGACTTACCTTTTAAGGAATAAGTGGAAACTTGAAGAACTTGGCAACAGATGATGTTTACAATGTTTGTGAGCTGTGCTGTTTTGAGGTGAAAGGAAACCAAACATAGTACAACACAACTGAGATTCTTAAGTTTCTCAGTAGAAGCACTTAAGAAATTAAAGAATGACCAAATGATACTCATGTTTTCTCTTTTGAAGTACAAGTACTTTCTGATGAAACAGACAATTCATCAGTCAAAGGTTCGAAAAGACAGTAGCTTAAACAAGAAACTGTAGTTCAAATGTCATTCCTAGATATATTGGCTTTGGCAAGATGAAAAGAGAGTGAAGGATGAAAACCAATCAAAAGAAAGAATGTTCAAAGTTCAAGGACCTGGGGCTTTACCAGAAAGACTCATGAAGCTATCTGACAATCTAGGCTTGTTTTGACAGTTCTTTAATGTACTGCCATTTAAGATGAAGACTCAAAGCACTTATCTTAAGATTAGCTTAACATTTTCAACCCAGACTGCAGAAATGACCAAAATGTGCATAATTGTCATTGCTAATGTAGTTAAAATTAGTAACAGATATGTGTACAAAAAAAAGGCTGTTATTGTACTGCAAATGTAAATTTAATATTGCATGTGCAGAATTTAAAAGAAAAGGATACAAACACATCGAATTCAAAATCAGTTAAACAAGACTATTTACATTTAATACATGAGGAATATTGTAACGAACTGTATTTTTCTTAAGAACCTAAACTGAATATCTAATACTATGAATATAAAAAACAACATTAAAAATTAAACGTAGTATATTCAACATCTAAAACCAGACTGACAGAATATTTTAGCCTCTTTAATGGAAACTGTGCCTTCACTATCTATCTGTGATCATATGACGTCCTCGTGTATGTTGGTTCTTGATGACTGCAGAAATGGAAACACAACAAAAAAGCAGCCGAATGGGATGAAAGCTTTTCAGACTTATGAAACTAAAATTACACTTACACAAATTAAAACAATATGTACAAGCAAAGTCAAACTCAAGCCCTCTCTTACCCATCAGGGTTATGACTCTGCATTGAGATGGCCATGTGGTTCTTGTGAATGCACTGTTGCCGAGCCTTTTAGGAAGAGTTTTCCTTTGTGCTCGTCTTTACTGCTGAGGAAATGATGGAGCAATCCATACATCAGTGGCCTAAAAACAGCAAGAAAGAGCAATACAAAAAGCATAAAGGAATGGTTCACCCAAAAATGAAAATTCAGTTTTTAGAGCTTGAAGCCCCTGGTGACCATTCAAGGGATAGTTCGCCCAAAAATTAAAAACGTTCAATTTTTCAAACTTTCAACAAATCAATTACTCACCCTCGTGTCGTTACAAACATGTAAGACTTTCATTCATCTTTGAAACACAAATAAAGATATTTTAACAAATAAGATAATCGACAGTCCACGCAACAACCACTTTGATGCTTAAAAAAGTTCATAAAGAGATCGTAAAACTAATTCATTTGAATTAAGTGGTTTGTTCCAAATTTTCTGAAGAGACTCGATCGCTTTTTATGATGAACAGATTGAATTTAGGCTTTTATTCACATATACACATTCATCAAATCACACATCAGTCGTGGTAAACGGAAGCTCAAGCAAGTTCACTTGATGTGCGAGAACCAATGAGCTTCAGCAAGAGGTTTGTTCTCGTGCGTCAAGCAGGTTCGGTTGAGCTCCTGTTTATGTTGGCTGATCAATGTTTACTGTATGTGAATAGAAGCCTAAATTCTCTTCAGAATATTTGGACAAAACAGCTCAATTCATATGGATTAGTTTTACGTTCTCTTTATGAACTTTTTAAAGCGTCAAAGAGGTAGTTATGTGAACTGTCAATGGAGGGACAGATATCTCTCAGATTTCATTAAAGGGATAGTTCACCCAAAAATGAAAATTAAGTCATTAATTACTCACCCTCATGTTGTTCCAACCCCGTAAGACCTTCGTTCATCTTCGGAACACAAATGAAGATATTTTTTTATTAAATTTAAGAACTGGATCACTGCTACATATGGCTTCCTAAGGGAGTGAAACTCGATGGCCCAGAAAGTCATTGAAGAAAATGTTTAAATAGTCCAAGTGACTACAGTGGCTCAACTATAAGTTTATCAAGTGACGAGAATACTTTTTGTGCGGAAAAACAAACAAAAATAACAAAATATCAAAAATATCTTCATTTGTGTTCCGAAGATGAACGAAGGTCTTACGGGGTTGGAACAACATGAGGGTGAGTAATTAATGACTTAATTTTCATTTTTGGGTGAACTATCCCTTTAACAAGATCTTCATTTGTGTTCTGAAGATGAGTGAAAGTCTTACGGGTTTGGGACGAAGTGAGGGTGAGTAATTGATGACAAGTATTATATTTTTGGGTGAACTAACCCTTTAACCGGGTTGACGAAAAGCAATGTTTTGTTGAGTGTTTAGGCCTGGTGTCACAGACAGGATTTAGATTAAGCCAGGATTAGCCAGGATCATGTTTAATTTGGACTTCTCTGTGCATGCTCTTTGAGGTGGTGACCATAGACCTGCATTATATGACTGACAGACAAGAACGGTTTGACCTAAAATATCAAAATTGAAACTACTGCGGAAACAAAGACACCTACATCTTTTGGATGCCCTTGAGGTAAGTTAAAACATACCAAAAATTCATTTCAAAGTGAACTATCCCTTTAACTTTTAATTGTACGGAAAAGAGCAGCTTAGACATTCTTCCAAAATTTTGGGGTGGTCTATTCCTTAAATATGCAATGACAATGAATAAAAGTTTAGATAAAGTGTTTCTGGTGGTAAGAGTGAGTATTCGAGTAACACTATAGATGTTGGTCTGAGCAAGAAACTCATTCATGTGTTAGTTACATCTAGACCTGACTACTGGAGTAGTGTTTTGGCTGACTTACCAAAAATCTCTATCAAACACTTATAATTAGTTCTGAATGCAGCAACAAGAATGCTTCCTCGTACTAGAATCACATCCAGCACTTAAATCACATCACACTCTGCTTGTGTCTTGCAGAAATGATTACAACAACCCTCTTATTAAATTTTCAAATGTCTTCATGGTGTTGCGCCAACATTCCTCGCTGGTCGTATTTAAAACATGGCTGAAAGTGTCAAGTCGGATTTGAATCACTACATGTTCCCAAGCAGAGGATCTCATAATCAGACAGTCTTCTAGCAGACTCAATTTGCACTATTATAAAGAATCACACTCAAAGAACTCTTATGTTTACTTGTTAACTTCTTTAATTTAATTGTCTTTTCTCCTTACTTTGTTCTGCATTTAAATTTCTCATCTTTCAATGTCTCGTAACTTTCTAATACTTATATTTACTCTTCTTGTATCTCCCAACATGTGCATGTTTGACCTGCCAACATTTTAACTGGCCCCTGAAATAAATTAAACAGGTACACGTTTTAGCCTAGATTTTTATATTATTTCTATATTATTCTATAAGGCTTTCCATGGTATGGCTCCTCAAAATTGTCAGAGATCTTAACCCCTTACACCCAAACGTGTGATCTCCGCTCCTCCGAAGCTGGTCTTTTAACTGTTCCGTCAAATTGTTTAAGACCTATGGGTGATATGGCTTTCTCTTCATTTGCTCCAAAACTATGGAACTCTGCCCTCTAAGATTAGGCAAGCAGAATCTCTAAGTGTTTTCATATCTTCCTTTAAAACTCATTTTCTTACGGTCGCTTTTATTTGATTGCTTTGTAATTGGTTTATTCTATACGGTTTACTTACTTCTTGAATTGTTTTGATAGAATGTTTTTATTTTGTATTGTGTATCTGAATGCATATCTTTTTAATGAATGCACTTCTTTTATATAATTCTATTTCTCCTTTATTTTTTCTTATTCTTGTAAAGCGCACTAGGATACAACTTTTAAAGGCGCTTTAGAAAATAAAGGTTATTGTTATATTATTATTATTATAAAACCATGTACATGATCATCAAATTATTGAAATAAAAGATCATAAGTACTACAATAGGTAAAGTAACAGTCCTTCACACTGACCCTGGGCCTCCTTATTGTTGAGGCCTGTACTGTACACTGTAATTCACTTTGTAAATGCTCATTTAAAAAGTGCTATATGAATAAAGTTTTACTTATTTGTCACAATCATACTTACACTGCTTTGGCACTCGAATCTTCTGCGACGTTGAGCTCATTGGCCATGAACTGACGGTCCAAGGGAACTTCAGGCTGACCTGATTCTGATACATCATTTTAAACAAATCAACCTTCAAAGGTTTGTTTTTATAATGCATTTTATATTAAATGGTTAGTTCACACAAAAAATGGAAATTATCCCATAATTTACTCACCCTCAAGCCATCCTAAGTGTATGACTTTCTTCTTGCCAAGCACAATCAGAGAAATATTAAAAAATACCCTGGCTCTTCCCAGCTTTATAATGGGAATGAATAGTACATGAGATTTTGAATCCCAAAAAAGCGCATCCATATTTATCACTTTATAAACTATAATCACTAGTTTCAGGTAATGGCTGTGCGCGAGTCGAGTTACGGCGGAAGAGTGACCTCTGACCTGATGCATGATGTAGGAGTAGCGTAAGCTTAGGTGAGAGTAGTAGACACCTCTCGTGGTTCAAACGAATAATCCTCTGACATTTCTCAGTAAAAATTCTTGTTTTAGACTTCGAATTCATGACCGATGTTTTGTTTTGCTTTATCATCATGCATCAGGTCAGAGGTCACTCTGCTGCCGGAACTAGACTTGCATATGGCCATTACGGTAAGCCAGTGATTATAGTTGATAAAGTTATAAATATGGATATTTTTCTTACAAAAATGCATCGCTTCGATTTGCTTCAGAATACCTTAACTCCCTGGAGCCGTATGGATTACTTTTATGATGGATGGATGATACATGGATGTATGCACTTTTTTGGCCTTCAAAAACTCACTCCCATTATACAGCTTGGAAGAGCCAGGATATTTTTAATATAACTCCGATTGTGTTTGGCTGAAAGAAGAAAGTCATATACACCTAGGATGGCTTGAGGGTGAGTAAATTATGGGATTTTTTTTATTTCTGGGGTAACTAAGTTAACCCTTTGATATGTATTATGAGTGACCGTGCATATGGTCTTCCTGCAGTGCTCATCTGCTCACCTGCGGTCAGCACTGATGCAGTGTATCTATACTTGTTGAACTCCAGGTATTCTCGGATAAGTTCATTAATCAGCAGGTTCTCGTGCGACAGCGGCGGGCGCGGCGTGTTCTGGTCATCCAGCGCGCTGAACACCTCCGCCCGGATCCTCGCCTTCAGCTGCCCGAGCACCCCACGGGCCTCCAGCGTCTCCTTTAAGGCTACAGAGACGATTCATGTGAGAACAGAGAGAGACAGCAGTAGATTAATGTGAGAAACAGAGAGAGACTGCACTCAGCTGGGCTAACCAAACGTTACACAACAACTGTGGAGAGATTTGGTGCTTTGGTTTAAAACATATAACAACATTAATATGAAACGTGACGACGGTAGACTTGACATAAAAAACTGTCAAAATAATCATAACCACTATTATATGATGCATTATTTCAATGTTTGAGTATCAGCTCACCGCTTTTCAACTCTGTGATGGTTGCCATTGAAACCCTTCTGCACTTCTCAGACGCTTCCGCTAGAGGTCAGTTTGCGCTTACTACGTACACAGTTGTACTAACTTAGCCATTCCACTCTGGCGAGGGACATTAGGGAATCTTTATATTGGTTTTCAAAAGCGAAATAAAATCAAATAATACATTTCTTAAACCAAAGTCGATTTTAACCTTTAATATCCCTTAAAAAAAAAAAAAAGCATTATCATTGTTTAACACAAACACCATACATCCAAGCATCGCCATCGACAGAGATACATAAAATAAATAACTCTATGTGGTTAATAAACATATATTGCAAGTAATTAAGAGAGTTTCAGGGTGTTCCTTTTGTCCTTTTTTCCAACTTAAAGTCAAATTTGACCTGTTATGTCAGTGGAAAGATGACGTGTAGCCTATGCGTGTAGCACATGTAGAGCCACCTGACGTCATGCGGAAGTGAAGGTGGATTGGCAAATCTTTCGCTTGCGAAATTCTTTGCTCGCTTTTGTCCCGGAAGGACAAGCCTTTTCATCGTGTCAGTTGTCGTCACCCTTCGTGCCAAAACAACTTCTTTCTTGACCAGGCTGTAAAATGGCTGGAACAGCTTTAAAAAGACTCATGGCCGAATACAAACGTAAGTCACTTATTGGCAATTACATTTAAAAGGCAGCGCAATGCTAGTGCTTGTGAATTGTGGATTTTACACTGTTTTGGTAGCAACAGTTTGGCAGCGGTTGTCCCCTCAAGCAGACACAGATACTTCCAGAACTTCGCTGACATATGATGACAGTATGAATTATTAATAGGTTGTAAGGCAACAGAAGTCGCACTGAGCAAACCGAAACTGTATTGCGAAACTAATTTCTTTCTGTCTAGTGCTGTCACTGAAGGAAACTGTGATGATGATGATGATGATTTTTTATTATATGTATTTACTGTTCAGCATATTTACATGAATACAGGTAATTTATCTCAAATCCTTTCTTTTTTTTCCACAGAACTAACTCTCAACCCTCCAGAGGGGATTGTGGCAGGTATGAAATAGGGCAGTTACTAAACTGCTCCATTGACCCTGGTTTTACTGTAGACAGAGTAACTTATCCAATGATTTATTTATATTATAAGAATATTGATTGAGATCTATTTCATCCCTGCAGGGCCTGTAAATGAAGAGAACTTCTTTGAATGGGAGGCTTTGATTATGTAAGTATTATTTTGCTTTGTTTTCATTGTTTTATTATTATTTAATTTGGTTAATTTGCTCAGAGTGGGTGAGAAAATGTGTTTCTTGAAATTTTAGTAACTGTTTCAATTCAAACAGATTTTCTCTGCCATGTCTAGTGTGACCCAGCAGAGAGGGCCAATACGCCATAGCTTGATTTCGCTCGTTCAGTACAGTAAATCTTTTATTATTCTTATTAATCCATTTAGTTTGCAGTGTACTGACAGAACACAGACAATAAAATGTTAAAGAAAATAGAAATATATGCTAAAAATAAATTTTTCTTAATTATTATGAATGCTCCCAAAACAATAGACCACAACTATAACGTTATTGCCACAGAGAATCGATACCGATGGAATCTCTTTCACAAAAAATTTTTTCCCAGCTGATGAATGATAAAAACATTGACAACCAATCAGAATCTATCCTGAGCTCAAGCATTTAAAGCAGCAGACGACATAACTGCAGTGCATGCTTATAATGATGTCCTATTATTAAGAAAAGTATTAGCACACCCGTCCTCAGCAGCTGAAAAATTGAGGTGTCGTTTATGTCTGTTTGTAGATTAAGCATGAGACAAGTTACTCGCAGAATCATAACACATGGAAAAATATCACATTTATAGAAATAAACTCTCAACCAGAACAAGTGGTTTCAGAGCTTCTGGAGTTTTCTCTTTGTGCTTTGTGTTTTTAATCCGCTTCAGGTTGCATTCACCTCAAAAATGTAAAATTGCACTGTGAACTTATTTAATCGCTATAAGTCACAATAGCTATGTTTCCAACCAAAGTTTTGAATGTATCCTATGTGCAAAACTGGAATATTGCATAAAACATTTGCGTAAAATGTTTCCATTCCATGTGTTCAAGAGAAATAAATGGTCACTTCCTGGGAAACTGGCGCAAGATATCTGTATGAAATGCAATAAATGCCGCCATGTAATCTTGGGTTCGGAGGTGGATATCTGGTGTTTGGGAACGCAAAATCGTGTTAGACTGTTATGGGAGGTTATTATACCCAACATTTTTTGATAACAGACTTTGGCTCAGTAATTTCAGAATAGTTGAACCAACATGTGAGATGCTGTGCAATTTCATTGGTCCACTGGTTAGTCCAGTTATCCAATCACATCCTCTGTTGAGGCAAAGGTATTGAGTTTTTTTTGTTGGGCATCAAGGGATTCATTTGGTAAATGTGTTTCATTGTAGTTTAGGCGCACGTCTTCTTATTCATTAGGTGATGATAACTGATTTTGATTTTGGATAAGACCAAACAATGTGTCCTCCGGTAAACCAAACTGGTGGTTAGATCAGTGGTTTTGACTGATAAGTTTTTAAGTGAAACTAATTGCCAAGCATAATAAGGAAGTGTCCCTAGCAACTCCCCGACAGCTGTTCCACAGATACAGAACTGTGTTCGTTTGATGCGCTCCTCATCATGATTACCGATCAATATCTGCCCATAGAAACAGTATTTGATAGACAGCTGGATAAGTAAACAGAAAGAGATTTGCATGTTAAATGGGCCTTTGAAAATGATTCCATGAAGTTCTACCAATGCTGTCAGTAAATCATTCAGATTTATGAAGTTGTGTGATTTTATGATTGTGATTGTGCAGTTATATTTAATCGGTTTATTTTTTATGTTTAAGTATATGTATTTTATGCGGAAGATTGTTAATGTTTTCACTTGCCTCATATTTTTAAGTGATTCTCGCAAACAAACATTTGGAATATTGTTTGTCCTCAACCAAAAGATGCCTTTAGACTGGATTTTTCATTTGCGTTGTCTCTTTTTTTTCTGAGAGACGACTTCTGTGCACCATGTGGGTTCATCTAATTCCTTATGTTAATGATTTTTATTATATTCTGAAAAATTCTGTGTAAAGATACCTGTGTAAATCTGTGTGCTTTAAAATTTCTAATAAAACTACTGAATGCTTGGGATTTGCGGGCAATTGAGTAATAGCTTATCCAGACATTATATCTGCTGCTTAGGGGGGTTGAGGGGTCACTACTGGAATGCTTCAGTTCATTGTTTCTTTATTAGCTCTGTTGCAACACTGAGCTTTAGAACAAGCATTAAATGATAAAAATTAATAAATGGCGGTCCTGCTTGTCTGGATATATTGCAGCACTTTCTAAAATCTGTTCTTGTTTTCTTATTTTAGGGGACCAGAGGACACATGTTTTGAGGGCGGTGTGTTCCCTGCCATCCTTAGTTTCCCCTCAGACTACCCCCTCAGCCCCCCCAAGATGAGGTTTACCTGTGACATGTTCCATCCAAACAGTGAGTGGTCTTTATTCTGGACTACACATTCAACATTCAGACCGTGTATGTGGGGTTTGGTGACTCAAATATTCATGAATGTCAGAATGCTTCAATTCAATTAAGTTTTCCGTTACGGTAACACTTTACTTGAAGGGGTGTGCATAAAACTGACATGACACCTTCATAATCATGACATGACACATGTCATGAATATGAAGGAGGTTTTATGCATGTTTATGACAACTGTCATTAAGTGTCATTCGCTCAATTATGACATTTTTTAATGCAAATATGACATTGTTTGAGATGTCTTTGTTATGACAACTTGACATAAACCAATACATCATAACCTGTCAGAAGCTATGTTTCCATCCACACGTTTTTATCCGCATTAAGTGATATCGGATGAAAAATGCCTTATGGAAACAGTAAAATTCGATTGAATTTCATGAATATCGACTCAAATGAAATACGATCGGTCTCATCGGATTTTATCTTGATCGATATACGGCTTATGCGATAAACGCGGATGGAAACGTTATTATGGTGCGATCCATTTTGCCTAGTAAAACTTTGTTCGCAAATGTTGTGAATGCTTGAATGTTGTGCAATTCGGTGAGAAAATGAATGGAAACACCTTAACATGTCTCAAATCAATTCGATATACCAATTTCATCGCAAAACAGCATGTAAAGCCGTTTGATGGAAACACACTTTCACCAGCTTTATTCGCATGAGGCTTTTTACCGAACTTCAGATAATTCGATTGACAAGTGGATGGAAACATGGCTAGTGTCTTGGTAATGACAACTTGACATTATCAAGACAACATAAATTGTCATAAACATGACAAAGCAGATTAATTATCAAACTTAAGAAACCACTTAGCCTTTATGGGTTAACATTACATAAACTGTCATGTGGTTGGTTTTGACATTGGCTGTCACGAGGCCATTGAACAAGTGAATGGTGCTCTGCACGCTCTCTGAAACTGAAATAGCCTTCCACAGCAGCACAACTTCTATGCAGGAGCATCTGAAAAGAAAACATCCTGGGGCTCTTCTACCTCAAAATGACGAGACTGCAGCGCAAGGATTTGGACTGTAATAGTGAATTTTTACACAGCGCTAGAAAATGGTCGTCAGTCCCATATTTTGTGCTTAATACGGCTGCGTTCATACAGCACTGTTTTTTTACAAGCTGTCGTAGGTGCAAGGCTGGGAGACGCGCGGCTCAAACATACTCTGCAACCGCTTACAAAGCATTAAACGCTGTTGTTGGTTATTTAAAATGTCTAATGGATGAACTCACACCTCGATTGGACTCATTTATTTAATTACGCGCTCATTTATTTAAAAGTTCATGGTTTTATGGACACTGCCATGTTTGATAGTCACTATTACAGCGTTAGTTAGTTAGTTAGAATGCGGTTGTGACTTCAGCTGTTTGATCAATCAGCGGAATGAACATATTCAAGCAGCTAATTTAATCTCCTGAAAGAACTAAACATTTCAGAATTTGCACTTGAATTTGCACATTTCAGAATTTGTAAGCAATTGCTGATATAAAGCCCAAAAAGTGTCTGTGAACGCAGCCATAGTAAACCCCTTTCCTAATTAGGCCTCCACTGCATAAACCTTATCTTTTGTGATGATTAATATCATTAAGTAAAGGTTCATACATTAGTTACTGTTATTATTTATTGGTAAATTAACCAAAGGATTAATTAATTATTCAGAAAATAATCGATAGATTATTCAATTAATCGAAGACGACGACCATACACCCCAAGATAGATTAATCGATTGAATAAATGAGGGCATTTCCTCTGGTCCTGCTGGTGGATGTGTGGACAGGGAAGTGGGCCCAGATAAAGGTCTTCCTGCAGGCCACAGATAGCAGCAGTCCAGCCTGCTGTCCTCTGATGGTGCCGGGGCTCTGGAGGCGGTTATCAGAGCTGGACGGCTCAGATTCTGATCACTGTCCTCATCTGTGGAGAGAAAGGGGAGATAACATCAGCTGTGCTGTTGAGTGGCTGATACCGTGCAGTGCGGGGGTGGCTTCATTCAGGCCTGATCCAGGGTTAAAAATCTCATCTTTATTTGTGTGCTAGACAATTTTAGCAGAAATCGATGTTCTTTTGATCCTTTGAGGGCCCTGACATCTGTTCGTAATTGCCATTTCAACTCTTTTTATGGCCTTTTTATTATGAAGTGGGAGAATAGTTCATTCTGTGGGATGAAATGCAGTGAATTTATCCACCATTTAGAGTCCGTTTGTTTCAGCTGCAGCATAGAAGAGTCACAGACAAAAATCAAGTCGAAAGTTTATTCAAATGTGTTCAGTCAACCGGCAATGAAGACAGTAAAGATGTCTAGAGGACAAAGGGCAACAGAAAACTCATAACAGAACTTCATAACTTGGTTGTGGTGTTTTTTTTTTTTTGTAGTCTATCCAGATGGACGTGTGTGTATCTCAATCCTGCATGCACCCGGTGATGACCCCATGGGCTATGAGAGCAGTGCTGAGAGGTGGAGTCCCGTGCAGAGCGTGGAGAAGATCCTGCTGTCTGTGGTCAGCATGCTTGCCGGTCAGTCACCGTTCACTTAATGATGAGCAAACTTTTTTCACAGTTGAGTTGTCTTGATCCTTCTTGCCTTAAAGTGGTTCCTGAGAGATCAAGGATATATCTCAATGATGGTGAGATCAGATATATATAAACGCTGCAAGTTTTAAAGGTTATGTTGTATGTCGTATATGTGCTGTGCATATATATACTGTATATATACTTTTTTACTGCGAATTATTTTTATACTCGATAAATCCTGCATCATGGATTTTTAATGTTTTAATACCTTTTATTTAGGGGTGTAACGATTCATTCGTTTTCTCGATGCATCGATTACAAATCCTGACGATGCATATGCATCGATCTTGAAACATGTATTTTGAATCGTGAATCGTTTATTTCGGTCAATATTCGATTTAAAATGCTAAGAATCGAATAATTTGCGATTCTATAGCAATTCAGTGCTTTAAAACATATAAACATTAAATGACTACATGTGCGAATTAATGAGGCGTTGTGCGGCGTCATTTCGCGTCCTCACAGCTCTCACATACTCGCTGCACTCTTTACCATTCACTGGATTTCGCTCGCGCTCGGTCCCATATAGCTCTCATCTACTGATTTTTGAGCAGTCCATGTTTGAGCTCTCCTCAGGACAGCCACTGATGTTCACATGAGCAGATGACAGCTCTCTATCGAGAAAGCAAGCCATTGATAAAGCTGCCATATCATTACGCGGGCACTGCTATGAAACAACGCGTTCGTTGCGTGAAAACGTCACCGTTATTTTCTTTAAGTTAAGATACTGAAGTTTTACAGAATTTAGTTTCATACCCGTCCTGAGCAGTTAAAGTAAAACCCCACTTATTCAAGGGTGCGCATTTATTACATGGAAAGAGAAAACGTATAATAGGTGTGTAAAATGCACATGCTTCCGATTAATCATGAATGATGAATGAAATGTAACTTAATGTCGTTAAACTGAATGTACGAAGAAAACTGATGAAATGACTACAACATTAATTACACTGAAATAAGAGCGCGTGGTTTATCCATCAATCAGATGCGCATTAAAGTTGCATTCGTAATCGTTAATATAGCACAAGTAGACACCCGGCGCGTTTTCTTTCAGAATCACAAGGAAAATGTTCAGTATAAAGAGAGCAAAGAGTAGCTATTCCATGAGGAAAAGTTAGTTAAGGTTTAGTTGGGAAAGTTCATGGTATTTTTAGTAGGGATGCACCGAATCCAGATTTGTGGGGTTCGGCCGAATACCGAATCCACTGGTTAAGATTCTGCCGAATCCGAAACCGAATACCGAATCCTACTCTCATCCTCAGTCCATTAACACAGTAAACACATTAATGAAGTAAACAAAGTGGATTTTTCATTTTATTTTATTACTGTAAATAATAAACACTACTTTTACTTTTATAACTGTAAAAAAAAAAAGAATAAGCAACATTATGCATTTTAACAGCGGCGATGTTGTGTAGCCTATTGTTTAGAGTCCTTGCCACCATGAGACAAATCGGCATTGCAAATTGAACATGTAGCTCGACTTGAATTGCCTTCTTTTCACTGAAAGTACTGCCAAACAACACTTTTTCTGCTCACGAGTTCCATTTTCACTTTCTCACAGCCTACTGCATTCGAACGGTGCACCTACTGTAACGACGAGTGGAAATAAGGTGTGGCCCCTTTAAGAACTGCGCGCTCCTGTTGAACTGTCTGCAGTCTGTATTGTATGTGCCGTGCGCCTCGAACACATGCCCATGTATGCGGGTTATTTCTGTTTGATGCTCATTTTTACCTTATTTTGTTAAGTAATGCTGTGGACGGTAGAACGTGTGACAGACAGTTACACAAGTTCGATTGTGGAATAAAGTGCGAGTTGTGAGATGTCAATCGCCTCCGTGAGTCTGTCTGGCCTCTGCAATAACTTTAGCTGTGAGCTATCCCTATTTTTCTTCCTGACACAACGCGTTACACTACAGGCTTGTTCGACTTGAACCGGCGCTGCACAGACAGATCAGTTTATGACATCAAAGTACCGCGAGAGCAATTCAAAAGCATAAGTAGCCGTCTCCTCTCTATTCGTTCACGCGGTACTTTGATGTCATTCACTGATCAGTGACTTCGACGTAGCGCGCGTAGTGCAAGCCTAGGGTTCGGTGGAAAAAAATTCTGAGGTTCGGCAGAAACCGAACCCCGTTAAAAAGCCCAATATTCGGCCGAATCCGAATCCGAATCCTGGATTCGGTGCATTCCTAATTTTTAGTCTCACAATGGAAGGATGTTTAATGTACCAGGAACACTTTAAGGTTGTGTATCCATTAACACTATCCTACAAAATAGTTAGCATGATGAACTAACAATACTTTTAAAGCCTTTTTAAATCTTGGTTTACATTTCTACAAATGCTAATTTATAGGCTTTGGAAATATTTTTTATAATAATAGATTCATTAAAATGAACTAACGTTAACAATAGACAAAATGTCGTTGTTTTTTTGTGGTTGTTCCCACTCTCTGACCCCCGAAGGCCGCTGTATAATTCACACCCTGACTGAGACCCATTGGGGGAAGCATTTAAATAATCCTATGAATGCATATAAAAAATGAAGAATCGAATCGAATTAATCGAATCGCATCGAATTTTAATGTGAATCGCATTGAATCGAATCTTTCTGAATTTGCAAAAATCGTTCTTGAATCGAATCGAAAACCTATGAATCGTGAATCGAATCGATTCGCTGCCTACCCAAAGATTCACAGCCCTACTTTTATTATTTACATCCCATCAGTGCCTATCCTTAATTAATTGTAAATAATGATCTATTTGCTCCTACAGAGCCCAATGATGAGAGCGGAGCAAACGTGGACGCCTCTAAGATGTGGCGTGAGGACAGAGAGCAGTTCAATCGACTAGCTAAGCAGATTGTGCGCAAATCTCTGGGTCTCTGACTCTCTGTGTACAGACACACTCTCACACTCCAGGACAGTGAGGATTGACGTTTGTGAGGATACAAACTCCCAGCGGAAGAGTGAGTGTTGTAGTGTGCTACCCCCCCTACCTCCACCAGTGTGAGCACTTTATTCCCATCCAGGCTTTCATACTCTCGTCCCAGTCTTGCCCTCTCCTGTGATTGGGTGGATGCGTGGACAAATGGCTTTTGTTGAATAAGGCAAAATGGCATGCGTTCACCGGACAGTGTTTAATAGAGAGTCAAGCATCATTCTCTCATCAAACGTTTTTCACAGCCATTTTGGGCTGCCGGTTTGTCTGTCATGCCTGTTACATGTCTATAGATCCATGAGATACCCAGTGGAATGCAGCTTTGGTTTGATGACAGTATGCTGATGCATGCTTTAATGCCTCCTAATAAAATGCATTGTGAGGAAATCATACGACGCAGTGACTATCACATCCACTTATTTGTTTATGAACAGATTGTATTACTGATCTTTTAGGAATGTGGGAAAAGATCATGTCTATTGATGGAGATTTAATAAATGTTTTAATTACAAACATTTGATTACATTTAATGTTGAAATTTGGTAATGCACAGATAAGTCAGTGTTTTTGTCAAATTTCACTCTTTGCATTTATTGATGTTTTTAGATTCTGCAGCAGCAAGCTGGAATTGTCCAGCCTTCAGCAGAAAGACAGACCAAAATAATTGATTTACACCATCATCACTTCAATTAAGAAACGTTTCATTTCTTTATTTGGTATTTTGCCTTTCATTTGTTCTCAAGGATTGTATAGCCAAATAAAATCAATAAGTGTTTGTGATGTATGAATGTCTTCTGTTATTTTATTATGTGTATAAAATCCAAAATGGTTTCTGCACACTTCTGATGTTGCTCCAGCGGAGATGGGAAAAAACTGCACAAGGGAAATTTGTCAAATATGTAGGGAAACATTTGCAGCTTAATTCATGTCATATAACAGTAGGATAGAGGGGTAAGCTTCCAATTTACTTCCAATTTGGTGAAAATGCTACAGTAATTTAGTTACAGTTTAAGTTCAGTTTAAGAAAACCGTTACCTGCCATGTAGAAAATTTCCTACATACACTTTTTCCTTTGTTGTCTTCTCTCTAAATCATCGGCAGCTGTATACAAAAGACTCCTTTAAAATACACCACCATTCAAAAGTTTTTTAATGTTTTTGTGTTTAATGTTTATTACTGTGATGGAAAAGCTGAATTTTCAGCGTCATTACTGTCACATGATCCTTTAGAAATCACTCTAATGCTGATTTGCTCCTCAAGGAACATTTCTTAATATTATTAATTATATTAATTAATTATATTATAGTTCTCAATAGTTTTGTGGAAAACATGTTTTTTTTTTTTTTTTTTTTGATTCTTTAATTAAAGTTGTTGGAATATGTAACATAAATGTCTTTAGTCACTTTTAATCAATTTAATGGATTCTTACTGAATAGAAGTAATCATTTATTTACGAAGAAAGAACGCACTGACCCCACACTGAGGTGGATATCAAACCTGTTTGGTTTGGCAGAGCTCAATCAGGATTTGCAGAATCTGACCACATCAGAGACTGGATTAACTCTTGTTATTTTTAATGGCATATCAGCTGATGTGGCTCATTATTGGACAGTTGCTTCCGTGTGTATCTGCTTCACCATCCGCATACTAGACCGCAGGTTGCCTTTTACTGGCAGGCCAGAAGCTGTTCTTCTGTACACCTATTGCCTCCCACACATTACTGTAATTGAATGTCAAATATGATGACTGCTGTCATTGCTGACAAAACAGTTATGCCTCTGATCACCTCCCGCTGATGGATTCACACAGTCTTTCTCTCTTAATGAACAATAATACCAAACATAATGGAAATATATATACTGAATAATGTCAAATGTTTTTTAATGTTTTTTGAAAGAAGTTCAAAAGATCAAAAATAAAGTAAAAACAATATTGTGAAATGTTATTACAATTTAAAATAACTTGTTTTCTATTTGAATATTAATAGTTTTGATGAATAAAGTTCAAGAGAACAGCATTTATTTAAAATAGAAACCTTTTGTAACATTATAAATGTATATACTGTCACTTTTGATCAATTTAATGTGTCCTTGATGAATACAAATATGTAATAAGTTCTATTTTATGTTAATTATCCCAAACTTTTGAGTGGTGTATGGCTTCCACGAAAAAAATAAAATCAGGAAAAACTGTAGTCAACATTGATAATAAGAAATGTTCCTTGCATTTCTATTTGCACTTAGTATTATTTTTTTATATACATCTATCAAATTCATAGAGCAAGACTGCGTCCATCTCTTCTGGAATCTCATCAATAGGAGCAGAAACCCTGCAGTTGATGAGTTCCCCTGTCTAAACATGTCTGATACTTCACACACAGTGCTGATTCAAAGCACAGCTCAGCCCCAGGGTCAAACGGAAGACCACAACATCTTTCAAAGAAGAACATGACACACACCTCTCTCTATCACTCCCTTCTCTCTCCATCATGTTACACCACTCCTGAACAATTTGATCTGAAACAGGTTCACTAAAGTCCAGTTTGTTGTTCACCCAAACCGGAGACTGACGTCAAGCTTGACCTGCATTAACCAACTGGTCATTTGGTCATTTGATTCTGTGTATGGTTCACAATATGTTGTATAATATGTTGCACAATATAAAGCCCTTTTTTCACTTCTTAAATAATAAAGTCATCAAAACTATGAAGCAAGTTGAAGTATGGAAACACAAAACACCATTTTATGATAAAGGACTGTCTTGGAAGTCTGTTATGGACCGCTTTCCTAATGGGATTACAATTTCATTATCTCCTATAAATATGCAGGTTAGGAAAGCAGGATTCTGTCAAGAGTTCATGAACTAGTAGCACAGCTCTTTAATATCCACTATATTACATGAACTGTTTGTCAAAGGCTGTTGTTCTACTTACAAAAGAATTTCAATTGCTGTGTTCCTCCTCTCTAATGTTCCTTCTTTTCTGCTGGCTTTGATGTGAAAAAGACTTTAAGCGACAAAGGTGAATTGGGGTCAGTTGAACTGCATGCTGGTCTTTAGCCTCAGATGTTGCTTTGATTAGCTCATTAGCAAACCAAACAAAACAACTATTAGCAAACCTGCTATTCTAGTGAGTGATCATGTATGTTTTGTCTCGAGTGGTCTGTTGTGCTTGTTATAGATTGCAAAGGCAAGCAATGCCATATTCGCTCATATTTACAGGCAAGGATGAATAAACCCGACCGCAAGCAGGCATTTTTATTAGCGTTTTCTTATGCTATACCATCTATGCTACTGCTAAAAGATGAATGTAGTCGTGTGTAGGGTAGAATGTGTGTGCTGAAGAACTCTAGCAGTTGACTGTAACCTAATATCTGACTCACTAATTAGTCAAACCCACACCATTTAGCCATTAGTGGGGTGTACATCCCAAAAAGTACCAGAAGAGGGAGAGACCGAGAGAGAAAGAAAATCATCCAAAACAAAAAAGTCTGGGAAAACGACACTGGGGTGTAACAGCCACGGACAGGAGTGATTCCTCGAATCATGCAGCTTGTTGAGCAGAGGTGTGGAATATTTTTTAAGCAATCTGGACTTGCTTCACAGTGGATGATAAAACTAATCCAATTCTTATGAGAAAATGCAACGTTTTGACTTTCTGTTTCTGCTGCCGTATGGTCTAATGGTACGTTCAAGTCATGTCGGAAATAACGTATTTATGTGTTGTTGAATGCACATGAATGCCATCACAATATCATAATTATGAGCGGGAAACTCAGAATAATTTTTTTTCTAAGTATTGTAAAATAAAACCTTACTCTACTTCTGGAAAATGATGAATGTGCATCAGGTGTGTTTTTCCTTTTTTAGGTTGTTATTCAATTTATGTGGGTTCTGTAAACTGGATTGTGATATATGCTATTATATTTGTACAATATTATCATATTTTGTACATGCAAATTAGTAAAACATTGTAAATGGATAAAAAAAAAAAAAAAATTTTTTTTTTTTTTACATACTGCCATTTTTCTTACTGATGCCCCCAACTTGGAAATTCGGGACTCAAAGAAAATCCAGAGTTTCCCAACTTGTTATTACAATGTTGTGGTGTAGTTCACGTTTGTTCAAAACGTGACTTGAACGCTCCATAATTTTGGAACTCAGTCAAGTTTGACTTTTAATTCATTCATCTAAAAGGGATAAAATGAAAATTCTGTTATTAATTATTCACCCTGTCGTTCCAAACCCGTAAGACTTCCGTATTCAGAACACAAATGAAGATCTTTTTGATGAAATCTGAGAGCTGTCTGTCCCTCCAATTGACAGCTATGCAACTACTACCACGTCCAAAAATTTTGGACTAAACCTCTTAATTTATATGGATTATTTTTACGATCTCATTATTAACTTTTTGAAGCGTCAAAGTGGTAGTTGGGTTGCTGCGTTGTGTGAGCGTGTGGTTTCAAGTTCGCTTGGGCCATATGCTCTTCTGTCTCTGTGTGTGTTGTGTTCTGTGTAGCATGCCGTTCGTGTTTATGGCTTGTGATTGTGTTCATTAGCCATTTGCTCGTTTTTGTCATGTTTGGTGTGAGCAAATGGCTTGTCATGTTTGTTTCTATGTGCCATGTGCTCTCCTTTCTATTGTCTTAACCCTGCCCTTCTTGTTACCTAATTTTTGGTTTATTTGCTCCACCTGCTCTCCCTTGTTACCCTCCTGATTTCCTTCCCTATTTATTCTTCCTCGTGTTTTTAGTCCTGTGCCAGTTCGGTGTGTTATTTAGCGTTCGTGTCCAGTCTTGCCTTATTCGCCTGTTTTCCACCACGGGGTAGTTTTTGATTTGTTTTATTGTGAAATAAAAGCCCATTTTCTCTCTATCTCCGACTCCGAGTCCTCGCCTCATCCCTTCACCCCAAATCTGAAACTATTTAAGATAGTAAGATATAAATCTAATAAAAAGGTAACTTAAAACAAATCACAAATTGTTGCCAGTTAATTCAAAATATGTTCTCTTAAAGGGATACTCCACCCAAAAATGTAAATTCTGTCATCATTTACTCACCCTCAAGTTGTTGCAAACCTGTATGAGTTTCTTTCTTCTGCTGAACACAAAGGAAGATATTTTGAAGAACGATTGGAACCAAACGGTTGTTTGGCACCATTGACTAGTAGAAAAAAAAAATACTATGGAAGTCAATGGTGCCAAAGTTCCAATCGTTCTTCAAAATATCTTCCTTTGTGTTCAACAGAAGAAAGAAACTCATACAGGTTTGCAACAACTTGAGGGTGAGTAAATGATGACAGAATTTACATTTTTGGGTGGAGTATCCCTTTAAAGACCTCCTATGGTGAAAATCAAGTTTTTAATGTTGTTTCTTGTGGTGTTTTTAAAATGCTTTAAGACAAACCATGTGCAAAGTCATGTCAACATCATTGCTGAGTATTTTCTCCTTAAAACTGCAGTGAACCAAAGACAGTCTCAAAAACACGGTTTGAAATCACTGGTGTTTCTGACGTCACAAACTACCTTGTAACCAATCAGATCAACGTGTGATCGTCTACAAGTGGATCTCGGAACTGGTGTGAGTGAGTGGAGGCGGAGCTAATTTGCATATTCATAGAACATGAAGCGCTATTTAGTATACTAAATGAAGCAAGGGTTTAGAGTTACATTCAAGCTGTTTTAAGGCATGAAAAGAAATCCAATGAAAAAACGTTTAAATATGTCATTTTGGTGATCAAAGATGAGTTTTAAGTGATAAAATGATTGACTAGGGGGACTTTGAGAC